CCATTGGTGTGTGAATGTGTGTATGAATGGGTGAATGAGAAACATTGTAAAGTGTTTTGAGAACCACCAAGGTAGACAGATGCAATAGAAGTGCAGACCATTTACCATTGCGGCTGTCACTGACAGTCCGTCACCTCACTGATAACAGTCTTCTGGCATTTGTCTTTCACTGCTTTCCATTTCTATGCAATTTTTTAGTTAGTGTGGGTTCGGTTGACTGATTTCTCCATTATCCACTCTCCCGACTGCCAGTTTGCCTCTCCGCCTGCCTTTTCTGAGTGTGTGCAATTAAAGTGCCAAGCGTGATCATGCCAGCAAGTGGCAGTAATGATATTTTTTTGCTTGAGAAATGAATTGAATTAAAAGGAATTAGGGGTGACAATGTAATGGAAAGGCATGAATGCAACTGGGACTCTGTACATGTACATGTACAATGTATAAATATAATCAAAGCCATTTTGTACGACTGTCCCCAGTTGTTATATTTTATCTGGTCCTGTAACCAGGGCCAAACCGTTTTGCCATGTTGTATACAAGCCCCAGTCCTTACTAAATTATAAGCATTAGGCAGGAGTTCAGTTGTGCCTGGGGAGGTTTTTGTAATTAATGACTAGCAGCTTTGCCACCTGCTGCCTTAATGTCACTGGGATCTACAGAGGCGAACCCTGAGGAGTACCATGAATATTTAACGTTGGCATGAAAGAGGTGGGGAGTGAATTGGTGGAGTATCGAAGCATCATTGGGTGAATGATGACAGGCAGAGAAGGAATAGAAACATAAAACAATGGAGATATTTAGGAAGGAAAACAGTATTTTAACTTTATCAAGTTATGAGACTTGTCTAAAGAATGGTTCTGTGAATTGACCTCATAAAGCAGAATAATGTGTTCCACTTTCAGTTTGCTGAAACAACTTCCTTTTGATATAAATTAATTATTCAAATATTATCTCACAAACCTACTTCAGTGGTTAGCTCGGTAGCACCATCGCTTCACAGCTAGAAGATGCCTGGTTCGCATCCTGTCCTGGGCCTGGGATCTTTCTGTGTGGAGCTTGCATGTTCTCCCTGTGCAGCATGGGTTCTCTCCGGGTTCGCTGGAGGTTAATTGGTAATTCTAAATTGTAGGTGTGAGTGTGCTCGTTTGTCTCTCTGTGTAGCCCTGCGATAGACTGGCGACCTTTGCCCTGAGCTGCCTGGGAGAGCCTCCAGTGTTTGACTGAAAATTTGCCTGCTGCTATGGTAAAGAAGCTGGTATGTATTTTGAATCATTCTCAGTGCAGGTAGCCTGTATATATTGGCTATTGTGGTCCTTTTGTGTATGTAGCTTTGAGAAAGTGCTGCCTGACTTCAAACAATGTGTTTCAGCAGTTGCAGTGGCCTTGACATATTCTTTGGAGTAGTCTGTGCTGATACTGGAAAGCAAACCAAACACAAGTGCTCGTCCAAGAAAATATGTAATGGACAACTCCGTGCTTTATTCTTTTCAAAGTCACCTTTGGTCGCACACTGGTCTGAGCACCGCGGCCACGAACGGCAGCGAGAGCAGCCTGCTATGCGGGGCATTCAGGGAACATTGTAAATTGTACAGTCTGTGGATAAGAAAATGTACAGTCAGTCATATGTTTTGCCTGCGACAAGGTCCCGGGACGTGAACCTCCCCGTGCAGCGTGGGTTCTCTCTGAGTTCTTCAGCTTCCTCCCACAGTCCAAAAACATGTTGAGATTAATTGGTGATTCTAAATTTTCTGTAGTTGTGAATGTGAGTGTGCTTGGTTGTCTGTCTCTAAGTGTAGCCCTGCAATAGACTGGCCCTAAGTCGACTGGGATAGGCTCCAGTCCCCCAACAACCCTAGTGAGGATTAAGCAGTGTATAGATAATGGATGGATGTTCAGGTCCACCAGTTGTGGACCAGTTACGATGTAAACTTGGCTGAAACAGGCAAGTCCTTGAATATCTCTCTACATGTGAAGAAAATCTGTTTTCTTTAAGAAAATGACTCATTTTAACTGGTGTAAACGACATGATCAATCTTCATCATCCTTTACAAACATTTTCCAAAACCAGCTGATATAGCGCGTGCCTCACCGAAGCAGCCAGGGTATTGGTGCTGAATGTATCTGTGCAGTGTGCATTAGTTCGTACATATGTCTCTGTCAGCATGACTTAGAAAACTTAACAGCTGGGAGTTAGAGTTGGGTTGACTGCAGAGTAGAGCGCTGCCTCTCTGTATATCGCTGACCTCGGTTCTACAGCTCAGTACTTCATTGTTGTGATTTCTGATGTGTTTCCTGTGAGTCATGTGGCCCAGTAAGCTGTCAGAGCAGAAGGGAAGACATAGAGGGACAGCGCACATAGCCACTCTTTTGATATTCTTATCAAGTGTACCAATAAGGCGGCTCATAGACAACCGTTTTATGAACATCATGCTCCTGTTAGTTGCCCCATGCTGCTGCCTTTAATTTTTTATTGGTTCACACTTAACAGACCCCTCTGAAAGCTCCTCATACATTTGTAATTTATGATTCCTGTGAAGTGCTGCTAGTCATTCCGTCCTGAGTATATGCTTTCATTCATGTAACTTTGGGGAAAGAGATTTATATATAGTATATGTCATGAGATGGTGAACATCCAGAAAAGGGCTGGTAAGTAAAGCAGTTTATATTCAGCGTCTGTTTGGAGGGGGTTTGGTGCAGCTCAGGGAATGAAATTGACCAGAAAGAGGTAAAAGCTTCTTGTTAGCATTTTGAAACTACAGAGAGTAGAGTGCCATGTCAGTGTATAAGATGCTGAAGCCTGGAAAAATTCTGAAAGTAAAGTGGAGTCAGTGTTGTTAGAAGTGTGATTGACAGCCTTTAATCCACAATACCATAAGTCTCCATCCTACCACAGTACCGTCACTTGTATAAGCTGGTCAGATACAGTTTGCTTTATCGTGCTTAGTCCACACTTTGAGTGAAAATTAAGCCTGTGTTATGTTCTGTGCTACCTGATTTCAAATATTTGCTTTAACAAATCCAACATTATTATCTATGCAACCAAGCCTGACAAACCCACCCAAAATCCTCGCTACAGTGCTACCTTGAGACTCTTTTTCTGGATCACTAAATATTTATGAAGCCGCTCAGCACATTATGGGGTTTTTTTCGGAACAACAACAACAACTAGGAGGTAGTCTTTTGAGACTCTGATTCCTATCAGGACATACTTATCAACTAGCTTGCAGCTCAGATTATCCATGAATATGTATGGCTGTCCTTCTTTGTAACTCCCAGGTAGGGAGATCAACTGAACACGTCAACAGAGACCATATCTATTTCTAAGTGCTCTGCTGGAAGTTTAGCAGCATCTTGTTGGGGCTAAATATCTCTCGTTTCTCCTCAGGGATCGTGGAATTAAAAGGTCAGCAACAGCTCTCAGGAATATCCCAGAGAGGATGATGGTAGGGGGAGGCTTTTCAGCAGTGACGTGATCCACATTGGCATGCCGGGACACGAAAGAGCATCTTGACCTGTGGCAAATAATAGCTCACAGAAAACTGATGTGAATGTGGAGGAAATGTAGAATATAAAGTGCATTTGCCTTCCTTCATATTGAAACACGTGTACAATGGTCTTTTTTTTTTTCATATACAGGGCGAGTCAACATTTCCTCTAGAGCTCAAACAAGTGGTTGAATAATCTATTTATCAATTAATAAAAATAAAAAAAATCATAGGTAATAATTTACCAACTGTAATTTTTTTTAATTTGTTAAGTGCTTGTTGCAACCAAAATGTGATAATTCCAGTTCCTCATTCCTCATGAGATTGAGGTTCATGGTCTCATAAAACGTCTCAACAACTACAACGACTTTTATCTCAGATCTCAGGATAAATTGGTAAATCCTGCAACATTCATCATTAGTTGAAATGTTTAATTTCTCTCATTACTTTTGTTAACAGGTGTCACCAAGCCAACATGTTGGACTATGATGATAGACTTACATGCAGCTAAGTGGTAAAAACCATGCACGTCTGATTTGTGGATATGGGAAATTTCTGAGGCAGACAATATCTGTCACTTGATGAATTACAGTCAACAAAATGTTGACAAATTACATAATCCAATGTCAAGATTTATACTGCTGATTCAGACAATTTGATAAATGCTATCATCAAACAGATTTTGCCAAAAATACAGCTTGTCTCACAGAGCTGAAAAGCTTTGCTACTGATTTCTTCTTTTTTTTTGGATTCTGGTTTTTACCTGTGAGGATTTTCCCCCTTTTTTCTCATATATGATAGTATACAGAGGATCGTATACATGTAGCACTACTGTTATACTGTAGATCAACTAGATGTAATGCTCCTCCAGTTTTAGAAACAGGAACATTTCAACAATGAGGTGAAGGATGAAGGGCACCAGGCAGGTACACAAGCTGGTTGATCTGTTGTTTGTGCCATTCTCTACCATGGGTCAGAAATGTAAATTGGACACATTGATGAGTAATGCCGCATCAATAACAGTAGCTTCAGAGTTAAAGTAGTAAAAATAGACTTTTATTCTACTAACCGTTGATGACAGCTCTACTTAGATGTTTTTAATTTTAACCAAATCCTGAAGTAGATTCCATCCGCTCTCGAAACTACATCAACCTCAGACTTTGTCTACTTGGCTCAGTTTTATTATGCTGTGTGGAAGCAGATTGAAGCAGAGATCAGAGGAATGTCTCCCCAAAACAGAGAGGCAAAGGGGGTGAGGAGAGCAGAGGGGGTTAATCCTCTGGAGGAAAGAGGCGAAGCTTCATCAAAAAGGGTCCAAAGTGAGGTGGAGACGTGCAATATTTATATAGTGGAGAGAGGAGAGTATGGCTGGTGGATGAGCGGAAGAGACTGTTCAGCCAGGTCTCTGACCACAAACACACACTCACACTTCAGGCTGTTTCTTCTACACCCTGAAAAAGTTGTGTTAACATGATTATATTTAGGCACTGACTCTTCATTTCTTCCTTTCATTTCTAGAACAAAGTCCTGAACATTGATGGAGTCAAAGTGAAGCTCCAGGTGAGAACTTCCATTTATTTTGACAAAACTGAGTTTTGCTATGCAAAGGTAATGACAAGATCTTTACCCAGAAAGGTGAGGTTCCAGAAGGAAGTGTTGAGAAACAACTTAGGAAATGATTTTAATTCAAAAACCAAATGAGGTGCATAGTCAACCTGCACAGGTCTGCTGTAGAGAGAGGAGAAAATGGATCTGCCATTGGAGCCAAATGTTGAGAAGAGACGCAACTTCCTGATAGGAAGAAGACACCATAATTAGTGTTATACCCCCTGAAATTGGTAAATCCATTACATATGCCTTCATTTCATTCTCACCCCATCATTTTCAGCAAAAGTTTTGAAAAGCTTCTTGTGCACCATCACCTCGGCAACAAACAGTAGACAGATAAAACTGGTGACTAGCTGGAATATATAAGAGCCAGATTTTCCTTAGTTGTCACAGAAGTTTAAAATGCAGTTTAAATGAGACAGAGCATCGGATTCACATTCTTCAGATGGACAGGAGCTTGACTAATAATTATGCTAATGCTGCGCCGTGACTGCTGGATGTGTACAGAGAAAGCCTTTAATCCATTAGTCCTAAGAGTTTACAATTTCATTTCGCTTTTATCCAAAGCGCAGTACATCTGAGAGTTGATACACATTCATACATCGATGTCAGCAGAGCTGCCATACAAGGTGCCTGCCTGTCGTTGGAAGGAACTTCAAGTTCAATGTCTTGCCCAAGGACACTTCGACTGTGGAGGAGCGGGGGATCGAACTGCCAACATTTCAATTAGTAGACAACCCTCACTACTACCTGCCAATTTTGAAGCTATGTCAGCGTTCCTGTGTGTTGCAGGTCTTTTTCATTGCTGAATTCATAAGACAATGGACTGTTTATGAGTCCTGTAGATCTCATTTCCATATTCTAGGCTTATCAAGTTTCATCAGATTGAATTGAAAGGACACAGTGAGCTCCAGCAGGCTGCCAGAGCAAACATAAACAATAACACTTGGTAAAAAGATAGAATGTATTTATCTTGTCAATGATTTCCTTCCTCTTTATTATCTACAGATCTGGGATACAGCTGGACAGGAGCGTTTCCGCAGTGTCACTCATGCCTACTATCGTGATGCTCATGGTGAGACAGTCACACAGACACGCACACACACACACACACACACACACACACACACACATACACACACAGACACGCACACACACCTTTACATGATTGCCAAAAAACATTGTTTTATGCTTTGTAATATACACTGTCCTTGTGGCCTTTGCAGTGTAGGTTTAGAGTATCTTTTTTTTTTTTCTTGTGGTGCTTTTTTTGTTGTTTGTTTGTTTCATCTGATGCATATCCTTTAGATGGTATTGTGTTTGAATTGTGGATTACATTAGTGTTTCATTTGAGTTTTACACTATGCTCTTTTGTGTGCATAAAGGTATAGTTAAATGGGGTTTTGATTAAGTTTTTCTAAGGCCACTGCATTGCCATCAAAATGAGTTTTTTGTCATATTTCACTCCTGTGTTTGCATCAAGGTGTAGATGAGGCAGTTTTTCTTCCACTCGTCAGTATTATCAACTGCTCAGGTTTTTATAACCTTTCTCCTGGAATGGAAGAAGAACACATGCAGGATTCAGGGACTCTTTGATGATCTGTTCCCAGTCATCACATATGAGTGTTTCTGCCTGTGTGAGAAAGTGTGTCTATTTGTCTACTTTTTATTCATCTTGATATTGACTTTGTACGTAAATTTAGAAAATTCTTAGTGGTAAGACTCCATTGGTTTCTCGTGATCCTGCTAATCAAGTTTGAAGTGCTCTTTAGAAATTGCTTTGATCAAATATGAATAATCTGCTGCATGATGTACAAAGCCAGCACCTTGGCAAATGAAACATGTTGTAGTCAGACCTCAGGTAGTTATCAACATCCAACTGCACCTCAAAGTGTAAATACAGTCCTATCATGATTTATCTTGTTGTCAGGTCATTCTCACTGCTAAATAATGTAAAGCAACCAAGTATTTAGTGGAATTTGAAGTATTTTACACACATTGCAGCTTTCCAAGCAGGACTGATGTTTCTCTGAGGGGATAAATGGTGGCTCTGCTCCTTTTTTAGTACTTGATATTCAGTCACTGTTTCGGTACGTTTGTAATTTTGTACTCTCATATGTATGGAGAATGTGTCACTTCGTTTGGTCTCTAAATCTTGTGGGCAGTCAGGGATTCTTGTGTGATCAAAGGGAAGATTTGCCATCTCGATCTGTGTGTGTCTGTGTAATCTATTTAAGTTTGCTTAAGCAGAGCTGGGTTGTGTGTGCCTGCGTGTGTGTGTGTGTGTGTGTGTGTGCCTGCGTGTGTGTGTGTGTGTGTGTGTGCGTGTGTGTGTGTGTTTAGATGTGTGTGTAACCTACTGCATGCATACAAGATTCAGTGAGTATAAATGATCTGCGTCTGGGTATTATCCTCATTATCCTTGTCCTGGTTTGGCGGTCAGCCCGCATAATTGCAGCAGGTTTTATTTCATAGGATTGTCTCTGTCTCCTGTAAGAAAAGAGCCCACGGAGGACTTTTAGCAGGGCCACTTTCAGGCACGATGCCTGGGAATATATCTTTCTCTGAAACCACATCACAGATCTTTAGAGTGCTGCCTGAGACATCTCTGTGTCAGGATTTTCAATTACTTTTCCATTGCTGCTGTAAAGCATATCACAGGATGTCCACACATCCTAATCAACCCATGACCTTTTAAATCACCTTCTGTGGTTAGAGGTGAAGTGGGGGGGGGGGGAATGGATCAGAATATTCAACTTTATTGGTGGCCATTGTAGGATTAATCAAAGGCTCCTTTTATAGACTTTAGACTTTGAGTTCCTTGAAAGGAACTTTTTGTGACTAGTTTCAGTATCTCCACTCATCCAACGTTCGACACTCAAGCCTATGAAAGTTGTTGACTGTGATTCACTGTGACTTGGTGTGATCTGAACAAACTCCTGTTTCAACAACATGCTGCCTGTAAGTTTCTGAAGTCTCTGAAGTGTTGTGCAAAGGGTTTGCAACAGTGTTTCCACCAGCTTTCTGTGTTTTATTAAAACAAAGCACATACAATGTGGTTTCTCTGCTGACCTTAGCATTGTGTGCACTTTTGACTCTCGATCTGTGCTTCCCCAGAAATTCTGAAAACTAACTTAAGTTTCTGTCTGAAAAGTGTTCTTTTATTTTAAACAAATTATGCAACAAAAGCTGACACTTCACATTGTGCTATCTATCTATATCAAAGTGTCTCTGTGCCAACTGACCCTTGGCATTGGCTTGAACTGTAAATAAAGCTTTAACTGCTTTGTATGGCATTCATGGGATTTTTTTTGTATGTATATAAAACACCAGGCTACATGCAGGAAGGTTTAAAGCACAATAAGTAACGTTTTTATGTCCCACGGCACCTCTTTCTTAAATACTGTAATACAACTGAAATGATGTGAAATGATCATTGATCCAAGCCAGGTAGATGAAGTCTTTTTTAGTTGCAGTATTTCTCACCAAAATGTCTCTGTGAGGTCTAAGAAATATATTGAGTGCCTTCTGTTCAATTTTTTAATTATTTAAACTCCTACATAATATTTGCAAAACCAGTGCAGCATTTTTGACAAGAAAATATTACACTGCAAACTGCACAGCAAGCTTTTAATAATAAATGACAATAACGTCAGGTCAGGAGGCTGTACTGTGTTAAAACACCAGCAGCCACGAAGCAAAATCTTATTGGGGTCCCTGGTCAGACTGTGGATGACTGTTTTTCTGGTTTATTATAGACATTTCAACCAAAGACGATGGCATTATGGAGTACTATAAGATTTGCAGATTGGAGAAGTCAGCTATGAGTACTCTGATGACCTTAAACTAATTTATTTGACATGCAAACGTACACCCCTTCAAGAAGCAGAGGCGGAGAATGATAAATGGAGCTAACTGTCACTGCCCTAGCGTTTTCAGGGCCAGAGCAGAGCTACAGGCACAGAGTCCAAAGCTAAAGTGCCAGTGCAGAGAGATGAGTGTGGGAGGGTAGAGGGACTCTGAATTAGGAGAGGTTCTGGAAGAGCACATGGAGAGAGAGGCATGCAGAGAGGATTATTTTAGATGTTGGTAGATAGGCCATGTATCTGGTGCGTGGGAGAAAAGGGTAGATAGTCATCAGGTATTTTTTCCGTTCATTTTTAATGTAAAATTTTGTCTGACTTTTTAGTTTCAGCATCAGTACATTTTCTATAGTTTCTATGGTAATGTCTGGTTTAACTTATGCATACATGCTGTGATAAAACACCCAACCACACTGAGAGAAAAAAACACACAGTGATAAAGATTAAACAGAACCAGGAATGGAAAGTACTGAGAGGCTGCTGAATAAATGATACAAAGCTGCAAAACATTTCAGCGCAACAAAAAATCCATCCAGTGTGTTCAGTAATTTTTCACAACCATTCATTTGTCCAGTCCCAGCTTGACGGATGACTCTCTGCAAAGAGACAATGGGATTCAGACTCTACTGTGCTATTTTGTGTTCATTTTCTAGGTTTTAGTTTTGTAGAAGTTAAAAATAAGATGCACACTGTGCAATCTTTACCGTCTGCTTGGCCTTTCAGCTTTTGTTTTCACATTGTTTTAAACTGGTAATATGAGACATGATTGAGACGGTGGCCTGATGTTGGAACAAAGGATGAAATCTGAGGGAAAGGACCTTCTGCAATATAGAACAAACCTGTAGATCCAGGTACAGGTTAGTCCAGCTCAGATGCCTCAGTATTGCTTTATTTTTTTTATTGTTATTATTATTTAAAAGAAAAAGTGACATAAAGAAAGTTGTGGCCATATTCTCATCACGAAATTTTCCCCATTTACCATTGCATCCCTTCATGGTTTTATATCCCCTATCTCACCCGTTTTTTCCTGTTTTTCTTCTTTTCTGTTGTTGTATTGTTTTTTATTTTTGTTTTTTTATCCCAGCCTCTGTTTTTCCCTTCAAGACATGAAGTAGTTTTTTTTTTCTTTTCTGAACTCACTATCTCTGTTCATATCTTCTTTAAATCCCATTTTCAGTGTTCCATTTGTCATTAGCACTATGAGCTGACTTGTTGTTCTAAATATGCGCTATACAGATAAAATTGAATTGAATTGAATTAAGTTTCTTGCATAAGGAAAGTTTTTAATTGAGCCCATTGTTTCACTGTTTAGCAGAAGCTCTGTATATCTTACACACAAACTGCAAATAATAGCTAAAAATGGGTGTGACCACAGACTGTATGTACGCAGGGACAAACCTACCATGATGTCACCTATACGTGTACTGAATGGTCATTCTGAAGCTCAGTGTGGTGACTCCGTCCATCACCCCCTTTGCAGTCCTTCTAACCTCGAATCAAAAATTGATCAAAGAGGTGGAGTTTGAATGGGGGCTGAGCTGGTCCCTGTCCTGTGATGGTATCTACCTGTCGCTCAAAGCAGCCATGCCTTTAAATGTGCCTAATTTTAGGCCATACTGAAATTTGAATGGGTGAGGTATATAAAAATTCACCATGAATGTGGGGATTAGCTATAGAGACTAAGAGCATTTTTCATACCAACTGTAAAAATGTTTATATCTGCTGTAAAATTGGACATTTTAACACGGGGGTCTCAAGGGATTGACTCGCTTTTGGAGCCAGCATTAAGTGGCCATTTGAGAAACTGCAGTTTTTGGCGCCTCTGTGTTGGTTACATTTTTTGACTCGGGAAGTTGCTGTTTGGGCATGAACCAATAGCCAGACAAATGGGCCACATAGTGCATGACTGCATATCCTCAGTTTGATTCCCAGCAGACCTAAACCTTTACTGTAGGTCCTTCTCTTGCTCTCTTTC